CAAAGCTTAAATCCAGCCACGTGTTCCCTCTTGAGCCAAGTCAAAGCTTAGCTCTGGCTTCCTGAAGCTCTGACCACCTGCGTTGGCTTTATAGGTAGGGGCCCTGTTTGGCAGGGCAGGCCTGAATTGTTTGTAGCACCAGCTTTATGCAAGCAGCTCACAGTTAGTTCTGCCTGAGGCCAAGCAGACCTGGGCCAGGGCTAGGGAGCCGACCGCCCAGGCTAGGGAGTCAACCACCCTTGCAGGAAACCAGACCTGCCGCCAAGCCAAGTGGTTTTTAATGGATTCTTGTCACGATGGGCACCAGATGTAGATGTAACCAACCATCTTATTAAAATAAGAAACACAGAACCAATGTAAAAGAGAAAGCTGAGAGGTCAGAGCTCAGAGCTAAAATCTTACTTCCTGCGGTGCTCCTACCTTCCGAAAGAGCTACTTCCTGTGTGTCTGTCTTTAAATAGTCTTTCTGTTCTGCCTTCTCATTGGTTGTAAACCCAAACACATGACTGCCTCGTCACTGCCTGTAAATACAGCCTTCCAGGTCTTAAAGGCATATGTCTCCAATGCTGGCTGTATCCCTGAACACACTGAGATCTACCTAGCTCTTCTACCAAGTGCTGGGATTAAGGGCGTGTGCCACCACCACCATGCTCTTGCTAAGGCTCTAATAGCTCTGACCCCCGGGGAACTTTATTTATTAACATACAATGAAAATCACATTTCAGTACAAATAAAATACCACAATAGGACTACTTATGTGTAAGCTCATCCCTGAAGGCAACTGGTTCTCCCTCTCACAATAGTTACTGCCCTCTATAGTTCTTCATCTGAGGTGGAATTTCCCATCATATCAACTGTAATTGTCATTATACTTGTCATATTTAGGCAACCATATTGTTGATAGTTCATTGGTGCATTATACCAGCTCTGTCTAAGGAACCCATTCTATCAGCAGGTGTCCTGAACTTCTGGTTGTTACAATCTTTACACTGCCTCATACATGATTTCCCTGACAGTGATACAGATTATCCTTTGGGATTGAGCTCACTACAATTAACTTATTCTCTGCATTTCTGAGCAAATGTGCATTTTTATAGTAGTCTCCATCAGTTGCAAAAATAAACTTTGTTCATATGGCATGTGAGCAATATTTTTTGTGTGATTATAGATTTAGGCATTTAGAAAATAGTTGATGATATAATCTTATGAACTGGGAGTAATAGGTTCTCACTTCAAGTCTCAGATCTCTATACCGAAAATGTACTTGGATAAATTGATAGTACCAGCCATGAGTTATCTCCTATGAGTGGGGCTTTCCTTAATTGATGGTGTATCTGTGTAAGTATAGTGTATTTTAATGTGTTTGTGTGTATACTCACTTATGTAGATGCATATGGAAGCCAGAGGATGATGCTGGAATGTCTTCCTCAATTACTCATTTTTTGAGGCACTCAGTCACTGAAACCTGGGACTCATTGTCTTGTATAGAATGCTGGTCCATGAGATTCTGGTTCTACCTGTCTCTGTCTCTCACACTTGGGTTGTTGACATGCTGCCATGCCTGTGTTTTAACCTAGCTGCTAGTGATTTTCACTCCAAGCCTCAGGCTTATGTTTTTCACATTGAACTATTCCCCAGCTCCACACTTCAGTCCTGTTCCCTCAATCTAATTGCTCTTGTTCCCATCCTCACCAGCTCTCAGTCAGTCCACTCATGAAATCTCTTCTATTTTTCCTTCAGACATTAACAGCAATGACACTTTATAATTAGTCCAAGCCCCTTATTTGTTTTTAGGGTTTGTAGTGTTAGACATCAGACAGAATGCATTGCACATACTGGACAAGTCTTCTATAACTGTGCTACACCTTCTTGCCCATTAAGCACCTTTTTAAAAAATATGCTGACTCCTGGGGATCTAGCTCAAAAGGTAACATGCTTCTGCACAATGTGAGAACCTGAGTGTGAATGCCCAGAAAGCACATAAAAACCAAGCCTGGTAGCGCAGCACTCTTTTAGTGTTGTGGATGGAAGTGACAAGAAAGTCCACAGATGTCTATGGGTCAGGTAGTCTTTATTTCACAGGTGTAAAAAAATGAAACATAACTCAAATAAGGAGGAAGTGAGCATCTACACCTGGCACAGTCCTCTGACTTCTGCATGCACATCTTTGAAAGCTCATGTCCTCTCTCTATCTTGTCTCTGTCTCTGTCTCTCTCTCTGTCTCTCTCTCTCTCACTTGATCTATCTGTCTCCTCCATTTACACACTTAAAAATAGGCTAAGAATAACATAACCCAAACAATAATGTGTGTATTTTCAGTCTTTGAAACCTTCCAGAAAAATTCAAGCAAATGTAATAAAAATTATTTTAAAAAGTATTTTGGTTTTTAGCAGGCAATAAAATATAATTCACCCCTTTTTTGACTGGAGAGACAGCTCAGTGGTTAAAAACACTGGTTGACTTCCAGAGGACATAGGCTTGATTACTAGGCCGCACATAGTTATTAACCACACTCTGTAACTGCAATTCCATGGGAATCTAATGTCCTCATCTTTTGTATAATAGTGTGTGTCCAGCCTTAATATTATACTATCCCAGAGTACCCAGAAGAAATGCCACCAGCAGTAGCGTGGGAATGAATCTAGATACATGGAGCTCTTTCATTCAACTCCTCTATTCATCCACCACCATCATTCTGTCCAAAATTCTCTGCCCACTTCTCTCCGGACTTGTCTATGTCTTTTCCAAGACAGCAACACCTTCATGTTTACAATACAACATAAGAATTGCAAGATCCTCACCAGAAGCTTCCTGACAACTTCATTGGCAACCCAAAAAGAGGAAGAGAATAAAGGAGAAGTTAGATAGGAACTGGAATAAATCAGAGAAGGAAATTTATGTGGTAGGAATATATCCTTACTGTGGTTAAGTGTAAACATTACAAGTCTATCCTAAATATGCCCAAACTATAAACCTACAAGTGATAGGGTAAGGAAATCTATGTCACTAAAAATAAAACTGCCCCTGTTCTCTGACAGGACTGGGAGAAGTTCTGATAGCCAGTCAATCTGCACCACAGTTTGAAGCACCTGGAGAGAGGAAACCCCTTTGATCTAAGAAGTTGCTCTGGGGCAGTGGAAGGGCTGAACTTGATTTGCACAGTAAACAAAGCTATTCATATGGTAGCCTGGTAGCCTGTTAGTCTCCTGGGCTCAGCAGGAGGGCGGGGGCAGTTAGTACCTAGTGGAACAGTGTCCAGAAGCTTAACTGTTTGCCAAAATGTTTTGGAAATATTTGGGCACACAAGAATTTCATAGCAGAAGATAGCTGAAATATTAAAAACTGTGTAACACCAAATATTCATAATAATGGCTTGCTTTTTGACAGACCCTTGGCCAGTCAAAGTATAGCTTTAATACACCACTGAATCTCTACAATATATTCTTGCAGCCTGAAAGACTCATCTAGTCTTCATGGGCAACAGACATATACAATGTACAGGTATGCCTGCATGAAAAATATCCACACACACAATAAAAATAAATACTTTTCATTAAAAAGGCCATTTATACTTTTGTGTTGTTTTAAATACATTCTGAATCACAAAATTCAAAAATTGTCATTTTACCCCATTTTAGTTCAAGTCTGGAAGGTAACCTGTTCTCAGTCTTGGGGTCACTGTAGCTAATGAAGTCTCCCTAAATTTGTTTGTATTAACAGTGCAGAATGCATTTAATCTGTGTTATACTAAGGCTGTCTTGTTGCTCTCTCTTGCTTTCCAGAGACACTGAACACTTCAATGTCTGTTTAGGTAGAAGGAAAATCCCTGATGTTAAAGTAATTTGTTCTTAAATCTTTGGCTACTGCTGAAAGCCTCGCCGCCCGCTTTCTGCCTTTTGGTGTAATACAGAGTCCAGGTTCAGTATTTCACACTTGAAAGAATGACTCACTTTATTATAGAAGCTTTTAATCTTTCTACATGACAGGGCATGCAGGATTTCATTAAACAGCTGCATTTCATAACAAGGACCAGACATTTCTTCAAAGAACCTGATCAAATTTTGTAATCCATTTCCATTTGGCCTTGCACTTGTTAAATTAGACACAAAACATTTATAAATGACATTTTTCCTTCCCAGCAATTAAGCAGTTCAAAGGTTCCCTTTGTGTTGTGTGGCTTTGAAAGTGTTATATTTATTCTGAACTAGCCCTTCAATTTGTTCTATCAAATATTTTGGAGGTTAGAGCAAGACATCGATTGTGAACAGGTGTGGAAAGACTTTTTTGATGTATAAAAGCATTCCATTTTATAGCCATCGTTTGCAGTTTTAGCTCATCTACTGATTGAATTCCCGAGAAGGGAAGCCAGCCCTTTGCTAACTAGGTGTCAGAATGCCTGAGTCTACCACACACGAGGGGCATTCCTCCACTTGCTGACATTTTCTCTCTGCCCTTTCACATTTCAGTGCTGATCCTGCTCATCGTCACAATGAGAAGACGGAAAAAAGAGCCTCTTATTTTTGATGAGGAGAGGGATATTAGAGAAAACATTGTCAGGTACGATGATGAAGGTGGGGGAGAAGAGGATACCGAAGCCTTTGACATGGCTGCTCTGAGAAACCTCAACGTGAGGGACACCAAAACCCGCAGAGATGTGACTCCTGAAATTCAGTTCTTGAGTCGACCGACTTTTAAAAGCATCCCAGATAATGTAATTTTTAGGGAATTTATTTGGGAAAGACTGAAAGAAGCTGACGTGGATCCAGGAGCTCCTCCATATGACTCTCTACAGACCTATGCTTTTGAAGGAAATGGCTCAGTTGCTGAATCACTCAGTTCTTTAGATTCCATCAGCTCAAACTCTGATCAGAATTATGACTACCTAAGTGACTGGGGTCCCCGCTTTAAACGGCTGGCTGACATGTATGGAAACGGCCCAGAGAGTTTGTACTCATAGCCTTGGACAGTTCACTTGAAATGTACTGAATAAAAAGGCAGCATCAAAAAAAGAAAAAATAAATAAATAAAAGAGAAGGAAAAGGGGGAAGTATCACATGCAGTAAACAAGAACTTTCACTTGTGGGCCAAAAGAGGTTGTAAATATGTGTCCATTTTTAGCTATTACAGTTTCTGCCTTGATGAAACATTCACTAGATTTCACTGACCAGACTCTGAGCATTTAAAGTTTTTTTTCTTTCTTTCTTTTTAAATTGTAATTGTTTATTTATTTGATAAAAAAATACTTAGTAGTTTGTGAATAGATAGCAACTTTTGTATACTTGCAAGGGCACCTAAACTGCCTGATAAAGTCATGATCTGTGTTGTCAGTGAGCCAAGGACAGCCTGCACAAACATTCATGGTACACTCTCTGAGAAGAATAGAGCATGCTGTGCCATTGAAAAATCCCAGAACTTCTTGCTTATCAAATCTTGGGAGATTTTGATTTCTATTGAAGCTTTTAGGCTTGCTATATGATAGAGTTCAACACAATTTTATTTCTGCTGGTGCTCAGAAATGTTTTACTTTATTTATTAATATATAAATCCTCACAATAACTTTCCTAAATGAAACTCTCAATAAAAAAAACAATAAAATTGAATTTAAGGCAACATAAATTATTGTTTTGCCAACAAATTATAGGAAGTGTTCCCAATAAGGAAAAGGTAAATAATTCTTCAAGGTTCAAGTAGTTTTGAAATGCTTGTGTAGGTATGATTTAAAACAATAGTTGCTGTCTATTTGTTAATTTTTATGATCTCTTCTGATTTATACAGGAGAATATATTTTTATTTGACACATAGTGTTGTGTTTATTTGGAGCTCCAGCCTCCACTCTGTTCAGGTTCATCTTACTGCCTCATGGTATTCAGCTCATCAGCACGTGCTGGCTTTTCTGCAGTTTGGATTACAGGAAGGAGATGAAATATGGAAATGGCAAAATAACTGCACAACAGCTGAGCCTCATTGCCATCCATATCTCAAAGAGGAGCCAAGCTCCAAGGATGTACAAAGTTTTCCTCTGAGCCACTAGAGAGAACAAAACTGTGGGAATAAAATATTTGTATTTCATTAAGACTTTGGGGAGAGTAGAGATTTTTCTTTGATGCAGGAATTATTCTCCAAAATCATGAGCTCTAAGTGCTCCAAAGACTGTTCAAGGACTGTTTCCCAACTTCTTTTGCTCTAAACATTGACTGAAAGATTGAGTTTTTAAATATATTTTAAAAAGTATGATGCTATACATTTTCAACCCATTGTGTCCCCCAAGGACTGAAAGACATGTAATTTCTCTATGGTTTGGATGTGCCAAAGGGAAGGGAGAAATTTCAAGTAACTGTATGTGTTTAAGATTAAGATGGATGTCTCAGCATAAGATGACTTTTATAAATAATAATATTTCTACTTATTTTCCTAGATTAATACTAGTTTATTGTGCATATAATCAAGTAAGAATGAATTTATTTTTTTCCTTACTTTCTTCTTTCAAAATTAATTCATTGTTGGGTTCTGAGTAAACCTGCAGGTGAACACTGTATAAGAATTGTGTTCTAAAAATCTCCTTCTGAGAAGCAGAATTCAGAACTAGAATATTATGTTGATTAAGTGAGGAGAAGTTATGTAGGATGCTGTAACTTGCAGTCCATTATTAGAAATGGAGTATGTGAAAGAGGCCTTCAGCTTCATATTATCAGTAATTCAATAAATTTGATTATCTGCAAACAGACCTTTAGTTGAATAATTTATTTAGATGCTGGTCCTTGACTAGAGAGACTACACTTCTTGCTGTATTCACAGACATACACATAAAATTTTACAACAGAGTAAAATGTCCTGTTGATAACTCTTAGACATATATGAAAGTTTTTCCAATTAAAACAAACTTCATACTTACCTAGTTCAATAAAATCAGATAGTGGTGTCAGAATCATATAGAAGCTGAATCTATAAAAGTGCTAAGAAAAATTACAAACCCCCTAAAGTCTGGGAGAAAATGAAATAGTTACTTCAGGGAATAGTGGCATCAAAACTTCTGATTTTCACACATATCACAAAATGATGATGTGGTTGCTTTTTTGCAAAAGGAAGCTACCATTGTCATGCAGATTTTCTCACCTTAAAAAGTGAATGGATTTTACCCTTTAAATCTTATCCAGCTTTTGCTAGTGGTAGCTTGAGAAAAAAATAACGGTTCTACTTTAACTACTGGTTTGAAATTGATTGTATCTATCACATACTGATTTGTTTCTGTTGTAGTTTTTGATATTGATGAGGATAGATAGACAAAAGTCCTTACTATCAGTAGAATTTTTATGACACTTCAAACTTAACAGCAATGGGGTAAATTTGTTATTATTTATTCTTTTAGCTTTTTTATGTTCTAAAATCTAATGCTATAACTGGCATAATACTTCAGAGCTAAGAGATTGCATCAGTTGACTGAAGATATGAATTATTACATATATTTTGAGCTTTTTCAAAGTTTATTTAAATATATGTATCTATCATTTAGTGGATTAAATTTGTCATTGTACTTTAAGCAGTAAGAAGTTGCTCAAGAAGCAACATGTATCTCATTTTTCAAATTCACTTACATTGATATGATTTTGATGTGAGTTGGATCTGTTGGTTTTCTTTTTATTTGGGGGGCAGGATCCTATCCAATAGCCTATGGTTGCCTCATACCCACAGCAATCCACTCACTTCAATCTCTGGTCTACCTGAATTAAAGTTTTAAGTGACCATGCCTGACTTTTAAATCCTGAACTATTTTATAAAACCTTAACTCATTATTATAGGTATATTATGAATAAATGTAACATCAAAGAATGATCCTAAAAGACTTACTGAATTATATCCCTAAACATAGATGCACCTATGGAAGTAAACTGTGGACAGCAGAAACCCCATGCTTTATTATGATACTCAGTGTCTTAACAAGTCTAGTCCAGAAAACCAGGGAAGTAACCCACACATTTAAATAGTTTTCATTTCTACAAAACAGTAATGCATCGTGTGCAAAGTAATTTTTACTTTGAACAGTTAATTTCTTTAAAATCTAATATGAACATTTATTACTATGTAAATTGAGGAAATATACCCAAGTACTTTTTTGAATTATTATTTTTGTGTAATTTTAAATCATCATAAAGATATAAACCATCCCCCAGACAATACACCTTTTTCCAGCGGCAAACAAAAATCAAGAATGAAATCAAGAAAAAAAAATTGACATGTGAACGTTGTACCATTAATTTGCTCAGTGGACCTGGCTCTCTGTTCCATTGCTATAAACTTCTGCTGGGGCAGAGTGCAGTTGTGTCTGGGTACAGAATGTGCAGGGTATACACATGACAGTGATCTGATGGTTCTACCATCTATAAACATGTTCAATTACCTTAACTCTGAACCCATTCCATCTATACTTGCCTTGGTAATGAACAGGAACAGACAACAGTTCTTCACCATTAGGAGAGCCGTACAGGGATGAGCAACATCCATCATATGACTCACAAGCAGCAATGGGAACACCAACACAGTGTTAACACTACTATTCAGTCTCAACCTGGAAGGAGCTGAAAATAAGCTGGTAAGTACATGGTATAAGGAAAACAATTCAGTTTAAATTTTCTAAGCACTAACAAGAAATATTAATCACCACATTTCAATTTTAACCCAACATCTGTTGACTTACACACTGTTTTAATTGCCCTAATTGCTTTATTTAATCACCATTTAGAAGTTTATTTATAGTTAATCTAATTTAATTATATTTGATTAAATCTTCATCTTAACTCTTTCAAGTCAGAGATAGCTGAAGGCAAGTAAAAGATGTGATAATTAATACATGAGTTCATCTACTTTCTGTTAGTCTATATTTATTTTGATCTTGAATAGGCAGTCTTAATTATTCATAATAAGTAATGTGCATAGATACAATGGCATATAAAACTTTGGCAGGGAAGCCCAATACAGTCATGTGTGGTAACTAAATATAAGTGAAAAAGATTGATACTCAAACTCCAATGCCTTGAATATAATAAAGAATACAAAAAAATTTACAACCCTTGAATTTTTCATTTAATTGGATTATTTTCCGAAGAAATGTAATGAATGCTTAAGAACATGAGAGATAGCTAATGCTGCGATTTGAAAACAATTAGAAAGAGAAAATTCCCAGTATAAACTGTAAGCAGAAATGAATTTGAATCAAAGTCCCACACATTTAATTGCATTGGTGACGTCTACACACTTGGAGTTTACCTGAAACTGACAGTTGTCCGAGTATCCATACATGTGTGAGATTGGCATCACTGAGAAACTTGTCTGGAGCAACTGAAAACAAATTAGTGCAATGTCAGCTGATTAAAGTTGTATATTATGCCTATTGCCAAATTTAAGTATGCTTTAAAAAATGCAATTTTTATTTAGATGTATATTGTCACGTTTCCCTTGCCATGTAGATGTGATCTCATTTTTCACTCAGGATCTGAAATGTGAACTGTTTTTTGTGATTTGCTATCAGACTTTTCTTCTTTAATATTAGCTGTCCAAGGTCAACAAACCTATTCCAGGAATCAAATGTAAGCACATACATCTGAGGCATAGGCACAAGGGTGATTCTCTACACTTTAATATTTTCATTATTTAAACAGAGTTATTGACTATATTATTTATTTAAGATGCTTATGAGATTAACTGAAAGTATTTTGCAAAGTGTAAAGCAGAGTAAACTGTTAAGTTTTTATGAAATAACATGGAAATTCTTTTAAATGATTGATTGTATTTGCTTTATATATTAAATTCAGACAATTTTTGAATGTTGAAACAGATAATTGGTATAATTAATAGAAAATAGACTAAAAAAAACTACTAGAGCATTTTAATACATCTGACCTCAGTCTATTTAGTCATTTATAAACGTTAGAGCTATCAATTTATATAACAAGTAACAAATACAGTAAAATTTTTCTCACTCATGTCATGGCTGGGTGGGCTCTTAGATGATTTAGTACTACTACTGAACAAAACATATGCACAAATGTTAGAGATTCTTGAAGCAATGATACTCAGAAGTCAGTTGGTATGTAGGCACCCAGAACAGAAAAGAAAAAAAAAATCAGATTTTTGAAAATTCAGTAACTGCGCGCGCGCACGCGCGCGCACACACACACGCACACACACGCACACACACACACGCACACACATACACACACACAGGTACATATACAGATTCAAATGTCTTCAAATTTGCATACCTATATAGTTTAAAATTGTGAAACATATATACAACTTAAAATTTTATATTTATAAAGACATTGATATTGTACACACACACACTATATATATATATACATATATATATATATTCAGTATTTTCACACATTTATACAAGTGTAGGTTAAAGGTTAATTTAAAAAGTGGCTTTTGATACTTGCTTTCCATTTTTAAATTAATTATACCTACCAGATCTAATCTCTACAATGTTATGTTAACACATTTGATAAAAGACCATAATGCTGAAGCTTCTCACTACTATAAATTTCACAATTCTCAAAATGTAGACAATGAACATTTCATATAGGAAATTACTGCAGCATATCTTGCACTGGAGTTATAACTGAGTATTAATGTGATTCTAGGGTAGCTCTCTTAAAAACAATTGAAATTCCTTTTATAGATTCCTTTGCTTATTTGAGAATCACTTATCTAAAAAGATACCATAGAGTACAGAAATGCTAATTCCACTGAGTATAGATTCAATCCCAAAAATCCAATTACATTTGCCTTTGAAAGTGAGATTAAAAAAAAGCTAAAGTTTTGGGTTCAATATGTGGCAGAAACTCCAAAGGCACTTTCCAATCAGGATAAGTACTACCTTGCAGTGAAATAAGCATAGAACATTTTAATATAGATGTGGGAAACAACATACAATTCCCAAACCTCAGTGATAAAGAAATGTATATAAAGTGTATAGTAAACTAATGGGTCAGGTGTAGAAAAAAAATGTGGGAATACTGTAGGAGCTAAGATTGTTTCAAAGTTTTTTTGTGTGTGTGTATTTTTTTTTTTAGGTTTTTTTTTAAATGTGTATTTTGTTGTATTAAGAAAAGTAAAAGAAAACTTATCCAGATGTGTTAGCATACACCTGTAACCCTAATACTGGGGATATTGAGGTAGGAAGACTGTAATTTTGAAGCCAGCATGGGCTATACCAAGATCCTATCTCAAAAAAGCGAAGAGTAAAATAAATAATGAAAATCTGACAGAAAATAAAATACTCTTGCAGTATTTTTCCCAATTCCTACTTTCTCTGTCTTCATTCTCACTACAATTTATTCTGCCTCACAACTTGTTACAATGGGTATTATTGTTATTAATCTCTGATGTTTCTTTGTAAGCAATTGATTTTGTATGAATTATCATAATAAATTTTTTCTATGGAAATGCAATTTTAAGTTCCACAAAAATCCTGATGAATTGTGTGAGATTCTTTCCTTATGAGCAGAATTGTTAGGTTCATGCATTATTTCTGCAGAGCAGGCATCCCTCTTTCAAAGGAGAAAACCCAGAAGTTCAGAATTTTTGCAATTTATCTCAGAAAACACAGAAGGTAAATGGTAGAGATGGAAAATGAAAAATAATCCAGAGTTATTTTGTCCATCATCATTTGTAACATCACTAACATTGAAGGGATGGCATTCTGGTTCAGAAAGATAAGAAACGAAAGTCTTAAAATTTATTTTCAAAGTATGACTTGAAATTTAAATAAGCTCCAATTCTTTCAAAGTCGATTAGATTTTTATTTATTCTTCTACTAAAATATCTTAATCAGAAAAATGATGTTAAATTTGTTGAAAAATAATGAGAAAATAGAATAATTTTAATGCAAACAACTATCACATTTTTGCTATTCTCTTTCCTATTATCTGTTTGAGTTGGTACACTAAATGCAGACAAAGTTGACAATATCAAGCAGAAGAGTTGCTTTTCTGATGATTCATATAATTTGAGACCTTGGTTCAGAAGATTTGTAAAAGAACACAGAAGTTAAAACAAGCAAAAAACAAAAACAAAAATAAAAATGAGGGAAAAAAAATAAGAGGGGTGAATCTACGAAGCTGTAGATTCAATAAATAAGACCTGTAGGTGCCTAGGTACTCTCGGGCAGCTGCCAACCTGTGAATGGAACTTTGTGAATAGCCAGAGGACCTGCCAAAACCTACAGAGATTCCAAATTCAAGAAAAGATAGTTATGTCTCCAGTGCCTGCATTCTTTTCAATTTGACTGAAAAAACAAAGAAAATCACCAAACACACAAGACAAATTACCATGAAGATGGTATGAAGAAATTCTCGAGAACTTAAACTATTACTATAAGAAACATAAAAAATGTATGTAATAAGTTGAATATAATAAAAATGAACAGTTGATTAAAGTGTGAAGATAATAACCATATTTAGTGATTTTTTTCTTAATGGAAACAAATTAATATAACTGAAACAAATTAACATTTGAAGCTAAATATTGGAAATAGATTCCATGAGAATTAAAAGTGGTGTGGATGGAAGTGGAAAAGTAAAAACTTATTTGGTAACAGCTGTGGGTGGAGAAGGGCAGAGGGGAAAGGAGGATCATCCAAACTAAATACATATAACGACACTGACACAGCTGGCCTCGGTATGTTCCCTAGAGACATAGGTAAGAGTTTTTCTATGAACTCAGCCTGTACGAGAAAGTGAGTTCTAGGGAAGCCAGGAATGTATCGTGAAATAGCTATGTCTTAAAAACAAAAACAAGCCCCGACAACTTCCCTTCTGGACCAGAGGTGAGTGCCTGGGTCCAGCCCGGACCCCATCCCTGGCCACCAGCCACCCCGGGAGGACCTGCCCAGCTTGGCGCCGGGTTCTGGCCACCGGGCAGCTCCCCTTCTAGCCCCACCGGGAGGGATACCCA